TTCCCCCGGGGGAATTTAGGCTTAATATTGGTTAAGAAAGCCTTTTGAATGTTAATATTATTGTTGAAGCACCTGGTGCTCACCATCTTACTTGAACTCCTGGAGTTATATATGCATACACCCACGAGTAGAAAAGTCCAAAATAATATTCAGCGTGGGTTGTTTAATCCATAGATAGGAAATGGGGAGACAGGGGAAGAAGGCACAGAAATAAATGCACACTTGTCTTTTGCTATAGCCACAATGGCTGTGCTCTACCTCCGTGGTCAGAGCCAGAAAGCCTCTCAGTTTCAGTTGCTGGGAATCACAGGTGCACAGAGTGCTGCTGCGCTCCTGTCCAGCTTATAGGCTTCCCACAGGGGTCTGGTTGGCTGCTATGAGAACAGGATGCTGGGCTTTTTGGTCCTTTGGCCTGATCCAGCAGGCTTATGTTCTTACCCCTGCAAGAAATATTTCTTCTTACCTCACCTCCTCGCAAAACGAATACAGGCAACTCCCCATTTACACATGTTCTAGTGACACACAACTGCCTAGAACTGCTTTACTTTGCTGTTGGATCTGATGTTAGAAGAAAAGTTTGAACTGGTTTCAGACCAGAAGTTACGCAACCCATTTCTGATCACTGGAAACCAGTTTCAGACTGGCATGGACGTGTTTGAAGCTTTGAGCAGTAGCTATTAATATTGAACCATGCGTCATCTAGTCCTATGCTTTATTTTCTCTTACTTAATTAGCTGGCTCTTTGAAAGGAGGCTAATTTTCCGGATCAAATTCCCTTGCCTTTGTTACTTTTCAATATATATTTTATGAACATATTTATGTTGCTACTTCTCATTAGTATCCTCATTATCTCTCAAGGATTTATTTGTCAACATCTTATTTCAATAATTAAGAGCAGTTAAAAACAAACTAAAAGGCTGCTTTCTTTTTTTAAAAAAACAACAACACCCCATTTTAAATCATTTTTTTCTGGCCTAGAGTCTTCACTTACAGAATGCATTTCATTTCTTTTTTTGCAGCTCAACGTTCTTATAATTGATACTGAATTTAATATTTTATATGCAGGCAGACAGCATCCTATCTCAGGGGCAAAAGGCATTTGCACTATTTGACCTGTCATTTTAAATGGGAGCGTCTGCTGGGAGTGTTGGCAGTGGCTTGGACACACTGCAGAGGGTTTGCAGCTGCCCTTTTGCTTAGGGAGCTCTGCCACTGGATTCTTTGCTTAGAAGGCTAGAACTGAATTCCGTGTCATTTTCACTGAGCCAAAAATGAGGAAGAGGTGTCACTCAGCCCAGGCATGAAAGGAAACTGATAATGTGCTAAAAGAGGACCCTGGGCAAACGGTGCGGGGGTTTGCCATGCCAACAAGACCAAACAGAAGCGTCTTACTGAGAATAGCCATCGGCTCAACGAAAGGCAATTTACCCCGGAAAGCCCTTGTGTAGCCAAAAGCCTCCTATATCCAATAAACATTTTATCACCTCCTTCAGAGCATGTCTTCAGCATCGTATCTGTGATAGACAAGAAAGCCTTTTCAGATGATTAAAAACCCCTGGATTTATTCCTTAATGCTGCCCTTGCTCTTCTCTATCCAAGGGTAGTAGCATGTTGCTGCAGCGGACTTTGCAATACCGCTGTCTGCCTCCTAAAAATACACACCCAAATATTGTTGAATGATGGGCATACAAGACTTTAGGAATCTGTATGCCAAGCCACAATTTATGGAACGTTCTGTGTTGTAAGGAAAGGTAATCACTGGCAGAATTCTAGGAGCCCCGTGTATTTAATTGTAGAATTGCTGTGTTGTTTTAATGGGATTGTTTTATTACGTATTTTAATTATATATGTTTATATTTAAATTTTTAAAATGGGATTTATTGTGTATTTTAATTATGGATGTTTACATTTTTATGTTTGCCTAACTGGTTTTTATACTTTGGAAACCACTTAGAAGTCTATGCTGGCATTAAGCAGTGTGTGGCTAATATATATTGCTAATAACTGAGGTGACGAAAGTGGTTGGGTGACATTAATGGTTCACTATGGTAATTTCCATTGCAAGTGCTATGACAACTAGCCTGTTATGTCCAGCTGCGGAAAGCTTAACATCATTTTCATTTAATACTCTAAACTCCCACTCCCAATTCCAGCGAACAACTTCACCTGGGAATACCATTTCTCTGCAAACATTCTTGGTCTTTGTTGCTCTCTCTGGGTGAAAAGAGCTGAATAAGCACACCTGCGCTTTACTGATACAGCAAGTGACCACAAAAGCCACTGAAAACAACCAATTACTTACCTGTAACTTTTGCTCTTCAAGCAGTTATCTGGTCAGACACTGCTTGTTCTTTACCTGTGCAGTACCTGGGAATCTGTCTATAGAGAAGGAGCTGTACTCACGCCTCTCGGGTACAGATCTTCATGCATGAGTTGAGGGGATGGAGGACCACCTTAGCAGTTCTCTTCCTACAATGCTAGGAAAATTCCAGGGCCCAAAAAGCCACAACATCAGCAGTGGGAAATGAGGGCAACTTGTGTGACTGCCCAAGGTGCTCACCTTAGAAAGTTATAGGTAAGCAACTGGCTTTCCTTCTTTGTGCAGTTATACAACTGGTCAGCTGACAAGCTAGCATACCTAGAGGTATGTGCTGAAACAGATGCTGGAGAGCAGCCTTTCCATCCAATATACAACACTGAATGAATGTCAGAAGAGTGGCCCATATGAACATCTTGGAAAGTTATGAGAGACTCTTCGAGAAAAAGCAAGAGACAAATGGGAGGCTACAGAGGAACCTAAGAGCATCCTGCACAGTGGCCAAACAGATGCATATAGCAAGTCCAAAAGGAGGAGCTAAGCACAACATTACTCTCCCCTCCTGCCATTTCTTCCTGCTGGCTTTCAGAGGCATATTGCCTTCAACAGACATAGAGCATAGTCTTTATGGCTAGTAGCTACTGAAATCTTTCTTTTGGGAAGACAGCGGAGAGGGGGTGTTTGCCTATATTTTAGTTTTGTTTTGAAGTTGTAATTTTATTTTTTCAGAATTACTGGTATCTCTTATTGTCTGTTTTCATACAAAGCACTTATTGCATCCTTTTATGTGTCTGAGGAAAAGAAGAATCTCAAATATAGTTGTCAATCATTATATAAAATTTATGATGTTTTTCAGATGCCGCTGGAGAACTATTGGCTTGAAAAACCATCAGATTCATCTCCTGCACTTCTGGGCCAAGAGAGGTCTGCCCAATCACGTGATAGTCACATGATTCATGCATTGAAATGTATGGTGTGTTGTAGTCTCATTGCAGAAAAATGACATGCAGAGTTCAGTGGAGTGGGAGGCCAACCAGAAGAGACTCTGAGGTGTACCTGCCTAGAGACAAAGTCAGCATTCGAAGTAAAGGTCCAGTCCTAAAGTCAAGGAAACAGCAATCCTTGTGGTCAGCTGATCCAGGGTTCAGGGAATCTGATGATCAAGGGTCAAGATGAGCAGGAAGCAGCACAGTAAGGCCAGGAACTACAAGGATAGTTTCCAGCATCTGACTGCTCTCTGCTTAAGGCGGCTGAAGCCAGCTGGTTCTCATTGTTGCCTTTTCCTGTGTCCTTGAAGGCTGATCAGCTGCAGGTGGAGTCGCTCCACCTTCTCCCCCTTCAGGCTGCTGTTCAGTAGGCGAAGCTGACCCCTGCCCATGACATGGTGTGTCAAGTGGCTTCTTCACCCCACTCTTTCCAATGTGTGATGAATGGAGGGCTGAGAAGAGGAAGCCCAAGTGCCAAGTATTCCACACAAACTCTCAACCCAGAATGATCTGTGCGTAGGCTTCCCTTTCTCAGATGCCCAGGCTCAACATGTTGACACATTGTCCCTTTCTACGCACAGATCCCATTTTGCATGATTAACACCTCAAAAGGGACAGATGTGCCTATTTTTTCTTACTCATTAGATGCCTTCCAAATGCTCACAACCAAATTCTAAGCGATAAGTGATGGGGGGAATGCAGTATTATCCCTGCAACAGAAGCACTATGTTGATAAGAGTATGCCTGGAACCTGGAGGCATTATTGTGTGAGAGGGGAAAATAATTGCCTGGAAAGACCCTCAGTATAATTTGCCTCCCTCCATCATATATCTCTGTCCCGTTCTATCTACAGCGCAGTGACACTTCCTCTAAATTTTCCAAGGATTCCATAGGGTTATCAGCAAATGGAGAAAGGCTAACTGATGGGTTGTAGTAGAAAGGAGGGAAACTGTGCCCTAACAAGTGGGGCCTAAGCAGAATATATGCCTGTCATGGGAAATCACTCTTTCCCCCAAGATGTTTTGTGTCCCCACATTTCATGCCCCTGAGCTACCCAGTTCTGTGTTACTAAAGGTAAAGGTAAAGGTACCCCTGCCCGTACGGGCCAGTCTTGCCAGACTCTAGGGTTGTGCGCTCATCTCACTCTATAGGCCGGGAGCCAGTGCTGTCCGGAGACACTTCCGGGTCACGTGGCCAGCGTGACATCGCTGCTCTGGCGAGCCAGAGCCGCACACGGAAACACCGTTTACCTTCCCGCTAGTAAGCGGTCCCTATTTATCTACTTGCACCCGGGGGTGCTTTCGAACTGCTAGGTTGGCAGGCGCTGGGACCGAACGACAGGAGCGCACCCCGCCGCAGGGATTCGAACCGCCGACCTTTCGATCGGCAAGTCCTAGGTGCTGAGGCTTTAACCCACAGCGCCACCTGCGTCCCCCTCTGTGTTACTACCAGCCTTCTAATGAAATTTTATGATTCCTCCCAAAGCCCTCCAAAGTTGAAAGGAGGATAGCCTAGCACACATATGCATAAAGTCATACTGTCTCTCTCCGTACTGGTGTCCTTCAACCCTCCCTTTACAGACTCGTCTCACATCCCTTCCAACTATACAATTCTATGTCCGAAATGTTGCCAAACAGCTAGGCATGTTCATGGGTTTGAGAAATGTGCAAGTTCAGCTCAATCTAGAACGCAGCAAATGGAGAAAATTGTTTTTATTGATAATGGAGAGATATAGGCAAATCATAACATAACACAGGCAATTGTGTATGGAAGACACTAGAAACAGTAGAAAAGAAACAAAAAGCTAACTTCAATAGACAAGCCTTACAATGGGGTTGTTATATGCCAGACAGACAGTCTGAACTGCATATTTTAGCAATCAGATGGACAAAAATTTCTGCTTGGAATTCTGACAGCATCTATAAGCAAAAGCAAAAACAAAAAAAACAAAGCATTCCTGCCCCACCCACAAAAGATCCCAGGAAAGGGGATATATATATTAGCCCCATGGGAGCTGTCTTCTAGGAACTGAACCAATTTAAGATGCTAACTTCAGTGCAAGTCAGGTGGCCATGACTATTTTTTAAATAAAAAAATAGCCTTCACTTACTGTGCTAAAGAGATTTCCCAGCTGTGTTTCCTTAAAACATTAAGGAGTCTGGACTTGCAGAGTTTATCACTTCCAAGTGTCCGCCTCATTGATAAGGCAGGGGTAATTGGTTTGGGCCAGGGACGGCCATTTCAAAATGTACTGGCATCTCACCAAGTGATTTCCATAGCAAAGGACATTGGGCTAATTACCTGGAAATGCACATTTAAACCATTGCTTCCATATCGCTTTCAGCTTACCTGCCTTTAGCATGGCAGAAGGCATATGTATATTATCAATAAAAATTAAAAACAGATCATGAAAAAGACATTTTTGTAACAGGTAGTGGGGGGAGGGCAGGGCAGGGGGGGAGCCAAGGCTGCATTGTGAAGGAAAGTTCACAGAACAATGCGTGAGGGGGTTTCAAGGTGTGCTGATGTCATCCATCTACACTGGACTTTATGGGATGCTTTCTCCACCATGCAGCTCTGCTATCTACTTGCAGCATAACAGTCCCTCTTTCCCCTTGTTACTCGATGATAGCAGCACTCAGGACACCAGCACACCACTTTCCTCAACCACCGCTGCATGGATGCTGGCCAATGAGTCCTTTCAGATATGTGCACCTTCGTAGTCTTCTGAAGAAGATTTGAACTTTTTCTAGGGGGCTCCTTTCTTCACTGAGCCTCTGTTCTAGTTAGAAAGCATTAACTTGAGAAGTCTAACTTGCTATAATTAGAAACCACCATCCTTGCACTTCCTTGATGGTTTGTGTACCATTCCTTAAAAAAATACCACAACACTCCCAAATCCTTTCTCTAAATAATCAGTTATGCAGCTTCCTCAAACATTTCCTATGTGGGAAAACATTTGCTTCTACCTTTCCCTCATAAGGCTCACAAGTTTATTGCTCTCAAGTTCCAAGATAATTTTAAGAATATTTTTAGGCCACCTTTCAGGGTAGAAAGTCCACTCAAGGAGACTTAAACAAATAGGAAGTAATCAAAACAACATAGGAAGCTGCCTTATGCGAAGCCAGAGCACTGGTCCACCTAGCGTAGTCTAAGTTGATGGGCAGAAGCTCTCCAAGGTTTTCAGACAGGGGTTTCTGTCAGCCTTACCTGGAGATGCCATTCAGAGCTGGGACCTTCAGCTTGTGAAGGATGTGCTCTGCTATGGTCCTTTCCCATAATAAGTGCCAGTTCCAAACACCATGATGTACCACCTTCAAATTTTGAAAACTAATTCTTTTACTTCACCTACAGGACAGCTGTGTACGTTGCAAAGGGCACAGTGCTGGCGAGACCCCAGCCGCCAATCATCTTAATTTGCTCAGAGGCCTCTGTTTAAATTAGCATATGCAAATTCACATCATGGGCCTATGCCCTTGAGGCTTTTAAGAACCTAGAGGCGCCCCTGTATCTAACCCTCAGGGTCTGCAACTGCAGTGTGCTTCTAGCAAACAGCCTGACTGAAATGGAAGGACATCTCAAGATCTAATACGGTGTGCATTCACAGATGATTCTGGTTTTGCCACTTTATTATCATCATTCGTACTACAACATACATTATAATTATTCCTACTTGCCTAGAGCAATAACAATTCTTTCCAGTATACTAGAAAAACTGCTCAAATCACTTGGGTTGATATATAGGTACACATCAGCCGGTAAAACTCCTATTAATTGTATACAGAAAAGCTTGAGGAATAAATTATCAAAAAAGACATGTCGACACTTCAAGGTCAGAAGCCAGAAGGCAAAAAACAAAACAAAACAAAACCTTTAAAAAGAATTGTGAAGTTTAATATATTGGTCATCCCACATTGTAGTTTTTCAGGTTTTCAAAATCTCACAGAAACCCATAATGAGAGTTATGATGCTAAAGGTCTGTAGCTTGTGTCTGATGCATATATGTACTAAAAATAAAATAACACTGTTCCAAAGGTTATTTATACCAAAAGCATCTTTTACAGTTAATTAAAATTTTATTCTCAAATATATCTTGAAAGCCTAATTTTTAAAAAGCAAACTTTTATTTTCCCCCATCTTAGCTGCACTGAATGATTGAAACCTAGTCGAGGACCTTGCAACTAAAATGAAAATATGAGCATGTTATTTCCACTTTTTACTGTGATGGCATTTTATATTCATCGTAAGCACCACGTTTTCAGTCTTGTCTTTGAGAAGATTGTTTGTCAACCCGTAGAAATAAGGTGATTGATGATTGAATAAATCATTAGGCGTGAAAAGAAGTGTGCTTGCAAAGGATGTGTCTGGGAGAAGAGACAGGTTGTCTCGGAGGCAGGAGAAGCATGCTGTAAAAGCAGAAGGCGACTGTTGTTTCTGGCAAAGATTCAGATCATCTTCCAAGGACTTCTTCACCGCAGGAGTTTTCAGTGTAGGACCATCCTCTGCAAGGGGAAATTCCTGTGGGTAAAAGAAAAATAGGAAAGCATGGCATGAATTCTAGGAAAGTCACCAGTTTAGGTTCTCTGACAGGGATGGGGAACCTGTGGTGAACCTTCAGATGCTGGACTAGAACTCCCAACATGCCTGGCCACCAGCCATGCTGCCGGCTGGTGCTGATGGGACTTAGTAGGTTCTATGGATTCAGGAGAGAAACCAGAATTCAAACCATGTGTTTCTTGGCAATTCAGTACTATTAAATTCTGCAGAAAAGCAGTCATTTCATAACTTGTGGTGGTTGCTCTGCTAGAGGAGTTGGGCTAGAGGAGGAGGATGACCAAATATCATCCGACAGACCCAGGATATATTCCACTGTGAGTGTTTTGTGGCTACTATGATGTTACTGGGTTACAAACCATTTGTAAATTTATTGTTTCCACAGGTGTTGTTATTTACAGTAGCTGTCTGTACCAATACATCATCCTTGACACAGGCCTTGTTGGTTGCCTGTGGTTGGTTGCCTGCCATCTGTGGTGTGTGATATAGGGAATATTTTGCTGCATACCATATTAACTGTAAGTTATAACCACTGCTTTAAAAAAGTCAATGGGTTTGGTTATTGGGAGCTTCCTTAGAGGACATAATGTTGTATTTTTACTTTCTATCAAAAATGTGCATTAGAGTCCATGTGAATGGTGTGCAGGTATATTCACTTACTCTAAAGGAGAAATTGTACCGAAGTACAGGATTTGACTTCTGAGCGTCTTGCCTTTCTGTCTCTTCGACACTATATTTAAAACTCCTGACAAGAGTGTCTTCTCTTACAATAACCAACCTATAAAATCTACCTCCCCTGAGACTTAAATACACGCACACACATCACCTTCTTATCTTGCTTAGATCTTTCAGTCTGATCACTAGCCAAAACCCTGGACCAAAAATGACTTAAGAGAAACAGAAATAAGTTGAACATGCAGTTGGAACATGCTGGGGTCTAGCAGGTCCCCACTGCAAGCTAAATAATGTGTATTACATTGTGGTTCTATCCTTCCTAACCCCTTTAAAGAAAGAAGACAGCATTCTCAGCCTAGCAGATGTCTTTGACAGAGATTAAAATTTAACCCATGGGTAGCTCCATGAAAAACGGGTTTTCAAAACCTCTGTGTTCTGAAGGATGCTCCTGAGATGATTGACACAAAGAGCTTGTTAAATTTTAAGTCAGCCTCCTGCTTCCTGCAAGGGCAGGACTGTCAGTTCTAGATACAGAGACGTTCCATCTATTCAGAGAGCAGGTAAAAACACAGATAACAACCATGTAAGGTTTCTGTGACACTGCTCCCCATTAGTCTTTCCCACCCATGGCTCAACGAAGGTTTGGGGGCTTTCCCTGCTGGGACTATGTAACATTTCCTAAAAGGATGTTGGATTCAGGGTGTGCCAATACCAACTCCTGCCAGCAAGTTCTGAACTAGGATAGATTTTTTTACTTAAGAGTTACACCTACATATTCAAGCGTTATTTTTGGACATAACTCAGAGGTCAATGTTCTTTCTTTGGTCCAAAAGAACACCGGTTATTCCTTCAGCTCATCATTATGAGGCAGAGACATGGCTATCCACAACTTCTGGCAATCTGAATTTGCTACACGTCTCCAATATCTGCATGCTGGACATAATTATTAGACTAGATCTGCAGGGTTGGAAAGGACCGTGAGCATCATCTAATACAGTGGCACCTCAGAAGTTGAACGGAATCCGTTCCGGAAGTCCATTCAACTTCCAAAACGTTCAGAAACCAAGGCGCAGCTTCCGACTGGCTTCCGGATTTGCGGCGTTCGGGAGCCAAAACGTTCAACTCGCAAGGTGTTCGGGATCCAAGGTACGACTGTACAACCCTCTGCAATGCAGGAATATGCAGCTAGCCTGTTTGGGGATTGAACCAGTGACCTTGGCGTTATGAGCACCACGCTCTAACCAACCCAGCTAACCGGCAACTGCAACGTAACCCCATGGCATTTAAAGGATATTGTTTCGACTTCTATACAAATGCCTTGATATTGCATGTGATTTCCACTTTCCATCCGATTCTGCCCAACGAAAGCTTCTAAAAAGCCCTTGCTACAGCTTTGCATTTGCCCACTTCCTGCGTTGCAATGGCCACATTGTCTCGAGCTATCTAGCAAGGGCCCCCACCTAAGCAGAAAGTTTGAAAGGCTATTATTTATTTTGATGGCTTGCTGAAGTCAGGAAAATAATACCCTCTTGTAAATGCTGTTGCAGAAAAGAGTCAATTTTCATTTTAGTTAGCGACGATCAGGATCTATTCCTAGATTTGCTGAATAAAGATTTAATCATTAATTCCGTGGCGGAAGCAGAGGCATCACAACATTGGAGTAAAAGCAGGCAGACTTAGATAGATCTTCTCTGCATTGTGGATTCTCCCTTCCTCCCCTAATCCAAGGTGTCTTGTCTCAATATCATTGGACCGTCACTAAACACCTCACTGTGTTCTTCACAATGCAGAAGCTCAGCACCTTCAACCCTAGTCTGGAAAGCTGGGAGTACAGTGGTACCTCGGGTTATGTACTTAATTCGTTCCGGAGGTCCGTTCTTAACCTGAAACTGTTCTTAACCTGAAGCACCACTTTAGCTAATGGGGCCTCCTGCTGCTGCTGCGCCGCTGGAGCACAATTTCTGTTCTCAGCCTGAAGCAAAGTTCTTAACCTGAAGCAATATTTCTGGGTTAGAGGAGTCTGTAACCTGAAGCGTATGTAACCCGAGGTACCACTGTATATAATTTATTTTTTGTTTTTGGAACACTTGGTCTTAGTCTCAAGCAGAAAGAAGCACAGTAGGAAAGTCAAAGCAGATTGTGGATGTTGGGAGGGAGAGGGATGAGAAACCTAATAAAACCAGTCCCATAAATTTAGGCCAAGCAAAGGTTTCTAGGAAACAAGATCCGAGTTGGTGGAGACGAGACAAGGCGATGCATAAAAAGCAAATCCTCAGAGCTGATCTCCACACCCCTTCTGCCATTCCAAGCATATCTATATGAAAGTGTTTTGTGAGCAATCGGGAAACGGTGCGACCCTGGATAAATAATTAAGAAATGAGTTCTACTGGTTGGTGGCATCTGTCCCGAAAGGGAACAAAGTGTCTTTTGTGAAGCCTTCTCCGCAGGGGGAAAAAAAAAGCCTCCTAGAGTTTGAACAGCATCCACAGCCTCCCCTGGAATTAAACCCAAAGCAAAGCTTTATTGTTCCCTTTCACTTTGACTGCCGCGTGTGGGGGTGAAAAATCCCAAGAGGTTTTAAAATATTACTGATAGGCTAGGCTTGGCTGCTTTTTTCCCAGGACATGAATCAACTTTATTGCGAAAAACAAAAAGCCATTAGTGTTATTGAGGCACAGACAGTGTCGGTGAATATACGCAGGGGTGAAAGGGTAAACAAATACTTTCAGCAGCATGAAGATACGCTTCTGCTCTTTTAAAAATGGATAGAAAAGGGATATTTTAAAGAATTGCCCAGAAAGTAGTGTAGCAAAAATTTCAGGCATGAACAAAATCTTAAGAGGTAAAAGATATGAGGCATGCCACTTAAATGTCCTGAATCTCAGGTTTCAAGGGAGGGATGGACTCTGGTCCCAATTCTTTTTTGGGATCCTTCACACATGACAGTTTCCCTTAGTAGATTAGATCCTGTCAGTCAGATTCTCAAGTGCCCTAAGCAACAAACAAGCTTCACTGCTTTCAAGACAAGAGACTGGAGGAGAGGTTATAAAAAATAAAGTCTGCCGCAGGTAAGCCGTGCTTACAAGTCATAGCAGAAGGCAATTCCATTGCATAAAATAATGCAAATATTATTACTACTATTAATATTATCCATGGAGTTTTCTTGGCAGGAATAATATGAGGGCACAAGGAGAAGGGGACAACAGAGGATGAGATGGTTGGACAGTGTTCTCGAAGCTACCAACATGAGTTTGACCAAACTGCAGGAGGCAATGGAGGACAGGAGTGCCTGGCGTGCTCTGGTCCATGGGGCCACAAAGAGTCGGACATGACTAAACGACAACAACTATTAATATTACTACTTACTACTTATTAATAAACACACTCAACATGTCTCAACCACAAGTAGATGAAAATGGAGTACTTTTTCCTAACAGATCTGAAAAGGTTGCCCCTAGACTATCACTGCATCAGCTCTAATTGTTTAGACATTTTGAGATATAAAAGTAGATTCCTTATGGGACAAGTTAGAAACAACTATAATCCAATTGATTTCAATGGTAAGTAAGTTCAATTAACTCAATTTCAATCCAATTCATCACCTTCCTGGTTCGATCCCATAATGCTCTCTGACTGTGAAACACATTGGTTCTATTGCTCTACAACAGCAAACATAATAAAAGACCTTTACAACTTTGGGGATTTTCTCTTCTCTTTGGTTGCCTGTGAACTGGTCAGTCCTCCTGTTTCTCAGCTGATGTGACCCCAAAAATATCTCTGAGATATTTCCCTCAGCATCAAACACATTACTTTGATTTTTAAAGACTTGTTTTCCTGGCCACAGGACAGATCACAACATGTTCTTGTCTCAATTTATCCTAATGATCTTGTGGATTAGATTAGGCAGAGAGATAATGACTTGCTCAAGGCAACCCACAGAAAGCTTCTTGGCTCAGAGAGATATGAATTCTGACCTCCTACTACTCAAACCATATCTCTAACACTTACCAGGTCCGCACCATACATTGCATGCCTATATTATAAAGTTGTAGCTGCTAGATAAAAAAAATACCTGCACCATGTCCTCAGAAGCTCAACAACCTTTGCTGATTCAACAGGGTCCATTGGCAGGCGAAGGATCGTCATCGTTGTATCGCCTATTCCTTTGGGGAGGACTTGGTGAAGGGAGAGAGTCAGCCCTAAATGGGGGGGGGGGGGAGAATAAACAGAGAAGTTTTCAGACTTGCCTTTAAGCCTATGAATTACAGTAGGAAAAGGGATTATTACTGCATGTGATGTCAAGGCCTATGGTGTCCACACATTCACACCAGAAGTATGAGTTAGGTTGATGGAAGGTACATTCAAAATGACATCAAGAACTTCCCATCAAAGGCAAGGTGATGGCCATTAAATGGCTAAGCAATGCTTAGCTCCAAGCACACACATGCACCATATTCCAACCCAACAAAGATGGTGCTTTCAGTAGTTGCATTCACTATTCTTCTGCAACTTCCACAGCCTCAATGAGGGAGGAATACGGCTGCTTACTGCTATTGCTAGAAAGAAAACATCCCTTGGCTTAAATACTACTAGCCTCCCAAGTTAGACCAAGAGCTGGCAGCTGTTCTGCAGTGATTAAAGGATTCACTCATCTTCTAGTGCCTTGCCTTGGCTGTGCATTACACAAAGTTTTTTTTATGCTATTATCACATAGCTCAGTCCCTAGTTTTAAGGATTCTATCAAGTTAAAGGATTCTTTAAAATCCTCAATTCATTTTTAATCTTAAGCCATTGATCTCTCTCTGTTTATTTCTTAACACTTCTTCCTAAACAAGGTGAATCTTTATGAAACACCTTGGCAAGGTTCAGTTCAAACAGAAAATGATGGTTAAAGGCATTCCACGTCAGGCTATTCATTCATTTACGCCTAGGCTGGAGACCCACTGCCAATCAGAATACACAGTACTGATCTCTCCCACCACTTGCTACTAAATCGTTTAAAGTGGAGATGGCAGGAACTGAACCTGGGGCTTTCCGTGTGCAAAGCACGCCTTCTAACCTTCAGCTAACCACAGTTTGCCAAGATATTCATACTCATGGAACAATGGTTTGCTTAAGGTTTCAAAGCAAAACAGGAGCAGTCCTTGACTGCAAATCCTGGCCTTTTCTGCACAACTATAGTTTATGCAAACCACAGTTTCCTGAGTTCTGACACCACAGGAAAGCCACGATGCCACCATAGTCTCTTAGCATGACATGACATGGTTTGAACCTTGGATCTTCTTTTTTTAAAAAATAATACTTTATTTAGAATTCAACAATAACAAAGGAAAAACCCACAGTAATTGCTACATCAATTCATTAAAATCAACCAATTTTAACAATATATAAATAGTAATAGAAAAATTACACAACATAACTTTTAACTTACTGAAGTTTTCATATTACACTTTTATGTCTTTATCTCTTTCTTAACAAATCAAAAAGAGAAAGACCAAGAAAGGAGGCACAAAAAAGAAAAAAGAAGAGGAAAAAGAGGGGGGGGGAGAGAGAAAATAAAAAGGGGGGAAAGAAAAAAAGGAAACCAAACCAAACACATTTGACTTCCGATTAGACTCATTGTGTTATTATTTCTATTTTTTCCACACAGTTCCAAATTATTGTATTGCTTTCTTTGTTTTTGTCAGATATCAAAAAACATTATATTTGTTGTTTTACAAGGATCATTCTATTTCTGCCAGGAGATATTTGTTATTGTAATGTTTTTCCAGATACTCTTTAAAGATTTTCCATTCTTTCTGTACTTTCTGTTTTGGATAACCTCTAATTCTCCCTGTCATCATGGCCATCTGTAAATATTCTATCATTTGGACCTGTCACTCATTTATCGTAGGTGTTTTGTCACTTTCCCAGTTTCTTGCAATCAAGATCCTGGCTGCTACTGTTCTGTACATAAAAAGTGGTCTAATTTCTTTTTTGATTTCTGGTGACATTATACCCAGGAGGAAGGTTTCAAACCTTGGATCTTCTACAGGCAAGGCATGTGCTCTATAGAGCTACACTCCCTTCACACCAACAGAAAAATTGGTATCAGGCATTCCCTCTTCCCAGGGAACCCACACCTGTTCTCCAAAGTATCCTAACTGTTGGAGTGATATAGTATACAGAACAAGTATATCGGTCTGAAGTATAAATAGGATGTAAAATCAGATAACCATTTTGGGGGCTTCATGCAATCTATGAACCTGTTTCCCCCCACTGTGAAAGTGTGTTGGGCAGACTAACAGTGTGTTATACCTTGAGCACAAACTGGTGTCTTGGTTCAATGAATTGTGTTTGCGGGTGGGAAGGAAGGAACACAGCTCACCCAAGTAGGCCAGGATTTGCAGCTGGAACAGCCAATTAACACATCTGTTTTTTTCAGGTTAGCCTTAAGGAGAGAGGGGGGGACAAAGTTTGTGCAGACTGAGAAAGAGCCTCTCACAGTAATTAAGTGAATTGGGGTTGAATAAACTAATACGCAGAATCAATGAAGATAATGAGAAGATGAGATGGGAGTTAACAGAGCAGGCAATAAAAGTGAAGCAGATGTGGAGAGGAGGCAGTATCTAAGCATGTTGTAGAAATAAGCAAGAGGAAAATGAGGAGCACCTTTCCCACCCAATGCAAGGAATCTGGTTAAATCTATACACATTTGTGAATACAAAATCTGCCTTTCTCATGAGACATCTGCTTGTGGCATGACCTGCCGTGCTCCAGCTGTGAATAGCTTTCAACAGATATGGAGCCACATCTACCAACACTCAGGGAAAGGAGGGCAGCGACCAATTGCAGCAGACAGGTATAACAAAACAAAAAGCAAAGCAAAACGAGAAAATTAGACCAAGTTAGGGAGTGTTTGTATTCCCAGCATGAACACTGGCCATCTCATGGTCCCTGGAGCATTGGGCAACCACTTTGTGTAAACCTGTAAACAGAAGTTACTCAACTTATGGGGCAGACCAGCCTCTTGCTCTCATTTGCCTCTTGCTCAGTAGAATACCAAAAGCTAAGTCTCAGGCACCGTGGTTCCTTACGGAAACTGAAATATCACATGAGTGCACCCATACCAAAAGGATAGGTGTGTGATGGGAGAGGAAGGCAGAGATTGGAGGTTCAGTGGGACTGCAGACTGCCCCTTGAGCAACAAGGCCCATACCAAAATAATTCCCTCTGAGAAACCACAGCCTTTATTCCCCCTTCTACTCCTCTCACTTTTAATACAGCATGATTTTATTGCTATTTTCTGGCCGTCAAGTTTATGTAGCTTTTTGTTTTTGTCACTGTCACTGCTTGTACACCTGCATGTAACCATAAAGGTTCGGGGGGAAATCAACAGGCAAAAGAGAGGTGGCAGGAGGGGTGCAAGTGGCACGTCCAATCTGTCGCAATCCATTTCTGCAGAGCGGCAGCAGAACGCTTGCTAATGCAGTGAAGATCCCGGGAAGTCTTGAGCGTTTTGTGACACATGGCGAGATGCTCCCCAGTGTATTCATCTTCCACACAGTCTATTTTACTGCCTATCCATCATCTGGAACAGGCAAAAATGAAAAAGAAAAACCCAACCCAACCAACCCCCCTTCAAGGTGTCTTGAGAATAAGTTTATGTAAGATATCATTCAAGCACATATAGCTGTAAGGCCACGGCTAGGGGAGAAATGCTGGTGGGGGCGGAAACACAGGTGGGATATTGGAAAATATTTAACAGCCAAAGGGGAGGACGTGGCATCAGAAAGCAGAAGCAGGAGACAAATTCAGGAGCTAAAAATCAATGAACTGCTTTAAGGGCACTTGAAGATTTGATAAAGATGGTAGTATGTAGAGACTGAGGGCATTTCATGAAACTGTAGCCCCATCAACAGCCCCATATATACTCCCTTGACTCTCCAGTTGTAATCTTAACGGTGGATCATGCTAACTCAGAAAAGAAGTGATGCAAGGCTGCTCAGAGCCCAGCCTTCCACTCCAGCCTCACAACTGGAAATGGAGTCGCAATGGCAATTCCTCTGGCCTGGCAGAAAGACTGTGCTGCAATGCACAAGGAACATATGGCTCAATAAGTTCATTTTAATAGAAAGGAAAGGATCACACAGACGTGAAGCCCCACTGAAATGTAAGTGTAAATGGGAACTCTATGTGCATACCAGAGTTCCTATACCCATCACAGGGAAATTCATTGAGTGACACCAACAGTAACAACATGAATCACCATGTCCTTGTTAGAGGTGCATCTCAATAAGGATTATGAAGGACTGGTGTACACTCAGCACCCACAGTCTCCATGTACTAATATCTACAGTCTATTTTCACAGAGTCATAAGTGTTGGAAGGGAACTCAAGGGTCATTTGGCCCAACCCCCTGCAATGCATGAATCTTTTGCCACTGCATTGTAGGAATCTTTTGCCCAACGTGGGGCTTGAACCCACAACCCTGAGGTTAAGAGTGTCGTGCTCTACTGCCTGAGCTATCCATAGGACACCTATGTTACACCTATTTCTACCCTTTCTCAACAGTACATTGGGAGTCCTTCCTCATTCCCCCCTTCTCCATCCCAGCACTGGTAGTTTGCAGGTACCCACTTTGAAAATATCCCTTTAAGGTGGAAATGCTGAGGAAATATAGAGAGCTATTGTCCGGACTCAACCTACATATGATTCCAACTGCTCCCAATACATTAATTGATCTGGATGTAATGGCCTTCCCTTGGAGACAGCTGGCATTTAGTTTTAGTCATATTGGTCTTCTATAAATGATTTTAATGGTGTTGTTGGGAAAGGGACTTGAAGGCACTGAGATGCGGGAAAGGGATGTGCACCTGGTCAAAGTGCTCAGACCCTAAATGAAGCAAATGATGTCATATGCTGAGTGGCCATTTATGGCCACGCAACCAAATATACTGGAAATGGGATGATGGAGTCAATGACCTCATCTTGTTCTTTGATCACAGCCAGAAGTGGTGAGGGCAACATGAATAACTCCATCAATTTACTTTCCTATATTTTTTCATGGAAGCAAAATCATTTCCCTTGGTTGTTGGACTAAAGAGGATTCCAGAATAGGATGGGGAGGAGCAGAAGGAATAGCCTTCCTGTTCTAGAAAAGGAAAACAGTTCAAGGCACAGGAGGAAAACTCTCTCTTCTTACTATGAGATGCTTCAT